GAAAAGGGAATGAGAGAAACCAATCTAATGTGTAAGGACGAATAATACGTGGGGCGCTGCGGGCGAATGATGGAACATACACCAATAGTGCACTACGATCGGTGCCCGTGCCCGCCGCGACCAAGCGGGAGAGCACATTTCATTAGAAAAGATGCGCGGCGGTGAGGCGATAGCGACACTTCGCCGCGACGGCGCCGCGTCCGACTCCCGCCACGCATTGCGCAACGTCGACGATAGAACGTCCATGCAAGGAGGAATACAACTACTTCGTATGAGGAGGCGAAGGAGGGATGAGGAGGTGGAGGGGAATGGGAAAGGAGCCAAAAGGAGCAAGCAGGAGGTAGGAGAGGGATATGCAAGGATTCGGCAGGAAGAGAAGGAGGACGAAGCTCACGCAGCCGAGGCCGCTATAAACATACATCCTCGTAGGGCGAATGCGGGCAACTGGGGCTCACTTATAGGGCTTATCGGCCTCATAAGGCTGACAATGCTCATCGGCATCATGAGGCTCACTGGGGCAACGCCCAGGTGAGCGAGCATGCGGCGCCGGCTCCCCGGAAGGCACCGCCGCATGGGCCTCATTGGGCTCAAGGGGCCCGTCGGCCCCACAGGGCTGATGGACCCATCAGCCTCATAGGTTTCATCGGGCCCATCGACCTCATGGGGTCTCATGCGGCCCATCGACCTCACAGGGCCCATCTCGGTGCTCTCCCCGACAGCCTCTGGAGAACGTGCAAGATGGCATCGCGCACCCTGGGGACCTCACGCTTTGCTCAGGGCATTCGGATTTCTACGGCCCGAACATACAGTTTTCCTGAACATTAGCGTTCTCCCGAACGAGATCGCTGTTCTGGGGAAAGGGGGGGCCCCGTCGAAGGGGGGAGACCCACCCAAAGAGTTTACGGCATAGCGATTTCGCCTGAGCATTCCCCGAACATGAGTGTCTTTTCCCCGGGGCGTTTGGGGGTCGCTGGAATTGGAGGGTGAGCGCGGGAATCGGGCGCAGGGTCCCTGCCATGGTGTCTCTCTGGGCCATGCGTGGGCGATACCTCCTCGACTGTCGTGTGCGGCGGGGGAGCACTGGATGCCGATCGTACCCCCGCCCCGCCCGAGCGTGGCCGCTGCCCGCCCCCCCTCCTCCTCCTCCGCCTCCTCCTCCTCCTGCTCCTCCTCCGCCTCCTCCTCCTCCTCCTCCAAAGACAAATTGTGTTCTGGGGGGGGGCGTCTTCGGCCAGACCCGCCAGCCTCTGCGCGCGGCCACCCAGCTCGTGGCGGATTCTCATCGAGCTCCAAACCCACGGTGTAGGGATCTAGCGCCGATGGCCAAGGGCATGTCGATTCGGGAGGACGGCGGGAGCCCCGATGAGGCACGCGGCCATGCGCTCAGGGCCTTGGGCGTAGGGTTTAATCAGATGCAGTTGCCGCTCGGGGTAGAAACCTCTGGGACAGCCTCTGAGAGGAACCACTGAGTGGCATCTGGGGGATCTTGGAGCCGAGCCTCTGAAGGAGCCTCTGGACGAGACTCCATGGGAGTCTCTTGAGCTCTGGAGGAGCCTGCGGAGGCCACCGTGGGCAATGTTTGCGATGGGGAACCGACCGCAGGCGTGCGCTGCTGCTTGCTGGGCTCTCTGGAAGGGCTCTCTTGAAGGGGCCTCAGGACGAACCGCTGGAAGAGCCCCTGGGGAAAAAACATATGGAGAAGCATCTGGAAAAGCCCCCGAGCTCCTGGAGGGTTTCCGGAGAAGCCCCTGGGCGAGGCTCTGATGGAGCCCCCGGGGGAGCCTCTGAAGAGCCTGTTAAGGAGCCTCCGGATGATCACCACGGGGAACCTCAGAGAGAGACCCTGGAGGAGCTCCTGGAACCGCTGGTGGGACCTCTGAATGAGCCTCTGGAGGAACCTCTGGAGAGCTGTTGGGAAGATTCTGGAGGCACTGTGAAAAAAAGAAACCTTTGCGGGGAGCCGCGGGGGAAGTTTCTGGGGGAGCCTGCGAACAAACATCTGGACGAACACCGCTTTGGGAGCCTTTGGAAAACCCCGCGGAGAACACGGTGGCCCTTGCTTGTGATGGGGAGCCGACCGCAGGCGTGCGCCTTTGGAAGAGCACTTGGAGGAGCCTGTGAAAGGCCCTCTGCAGCAGCCTCTGGAAAGCCTCTGGAGGAGCCTCCAAGGTGCTCTTTGAGATGTTATGGTGGACCCCTTGGACGAGCCTCTGAGGGAGCTTCCGGAGGAGTTTCTGGAAGAGCCTCTGGAGGAGCCTCTGCAGGAGCCGTTGGATGAGTCCCCATGGACAGCTTCTCGAAGAGCATATGCTGAAGCATATGACAGAACCCCTGGAGGAGCTTCTGGTGGAGCCTCTGGAGGGGCCTGCGGACGATGTTCTAGAGAGCTTCTGGAAAGCTTCAAGAGAACACGCGACTGTCCTGTTCCCCCCTCAAGAACGCCGTCAACTTATAGCGGTGGGGGGTGTCCCTTCGGGGGGTGTCAATAGGTCAACTCAACTACCCTCTGCTCTGCCGCATTCCGCATGCCACCTCACTCTCCCCATCCTCGTTCCCCCTCCTCCCTCCTCCAACCCCCCTCCCTCCTTTCCGTTCCTCCCTCCCTCCCTCCGCCTTCTCCCTCTTTCCTTGCCCCTGATGCCCCCCTCCCTACACCGCGGCGGCGGCGGTATTTATCCTGGGGGCGAGGGCGGCTGCACTGAAGATAAAAACGCACGCGATGGTACTGAACATTGTTACCGTATGTAATGACACCGGGACACCGTCACCGCCGACCCGCTTAGGACTGCAATGCTGAAGGGAATCGCGCACCGAGCCAACTGTACATCGCGCAAGGTGCACGAGAATTCCAAGAAAACCACAGCACGCGACCGGGCACCGCGCACAAGCAACTTCTGCGCGCCCCCGCTAGATGCCAACGGACGCGTCCAGCGGGCGCAGCCTGGAGGCAATCTCACGGCCCCAACTCGCCCGGATAACACCCGCACAATTTAGGCTGCGCGCAATAGAACAGCAACTGCAACACAACTAATGGACGACCCGTGACTACCGCCCCGCCCATGGGTGCGGTGCGATAACGGAAAAACCTTATATTTTCTCCCCGGGGCTTTGGCGGCGGCGGCGACCGACGACGCGACGACGACAACGACAACATCGGCGGCGGCGGCGACCGACGACACGACCACACCGATACCGATATCGACGACAACGACGACATCGGCGGCTGAGGCGGCGGCCGACGACACGACGACGACGACGACGACGACGACAAGACGACGACGACGACGACACCGCATCGGCGGCGACGGCGACGGACGACACGACAACGTCGACCACAAGCCAACAACGGCGACATCGGCAGCGGCGGCGACCGACGACGACGACGACGACGACGACGATATCGGCGGCAGCGGCGACCGACGACACGACGACGACGACGACAACGGCCGCAGCGGCGACCGACGACACGATGATGCCGACGATAACGACGACGACGACGAGGACGACGACGGCGGTGACCGACGACACGACGACGACATCGGCGGCGGCGGCGACTGACGACAAGACGACGACTATGACGACCCAGACGACACGGCGACGACGACGACGACGACATCGGCGGCGGTGACCGACGACAAGACGACGACGACGGCGGCGACGTCGACGACAGCGGCGGCGGCGGCGACGATGGCGACGACATCGACGACATCGGCGACGACGGCGACCGACGACCACGACAACGACGAAGTCATCGGCGGCGGCGGCGACCGAGGACACGACGACGAGAACGACGACGACATCGGCGGCGACGGCGACCGACGACACGACGACGACGACAACGACGGCGGAGGCGGCAACGACAGCCGACAGACGACACGACGACGACGACGACGACCCAGACGACAACGACAACGACATCGGCGGCGACGGCGACCGACGACACGACGACGACGACGACGACGAAGACGACATCGGCGGCGGCGGCCGACGACCCGACGACGACGACGACGACGACGACGACGACGACGCCAACGACGACGACGAAGACGACGATGACACTGGCGGCAGCGGCGAACGACGACAACGACGACGGCGGTGACGACGACGACTGCGACGACGACAACGAGGACGACATCGGCGGCAACGGCGGCGGACGCGACGACGACGACACCGGAAGACGACGACGACGACATCGGCGGCGGCGGCGGCTGACATGAAGATGACGACGATGATGACGACAGCGGCGGCGGTTGCGACGACACGCCGACGACGACGATGACGTCGACATTGGCGGCGGCGGCGACCGACGACGACGAGGACATCGGCAGCAGCGGCGACCGACGACATGACAACGACGACGACGACGACATCGGCTGCAGCGACGACGACGACATTGGCGGCGGCGGCGACCGACGACGACGACGACATCGGCGGCGGCGGCGGCGACTGAAGACACGACGACGACCTCCACGACGACGACGACGCCGACCGACGACACGACGGCGACGATAACGATGACGAGGGCAACGACGCCATCGGCGGCAGCTGCTGACGACGACAACGACGACGACATCGGCGGCGGCGGCGACAGACGACAAGACGACGACGACGACGACGACGACGACGACGACAACGGCGCCAACGACGACGACGACGATGTCGGCAGCAGCCGCGACCGACGACACGACGACGACGACGAAGACGACGACGTCGACGACGACGACGACGACGACGACAGGGCCGACGACAACGAGGACAACGACACGGGCGGCAACGGCGACCGACGACACGACGACGACGACGACGACGACGACGACGACGACGACGACGACGACGACTAAGACATCGGCGGCAGCGGCGACCGACGACACGACGAGGACGACGACGACGACAACATTGGCGGCTGCGGCGACCTACGACGACGACGACGACGACGACGACAAGGACGATGACGACGACGACGCCGACAATGACGACGACGACGGTGGCGGCGGCGGCGCCTCGTCCAGCGGCGGCAGTCCCGCGCCGGAGCCGCACGGCGATCCCGCATGCCACGGCGGCTGCGGCAGGCGCATGCTCTGAGAGAGGCTCTGCGACAGGATGTCGTGCGCGACGCCCTGTTGGGCCTCGCAGTGCGCCGCAGTCGTGGGTCCTCTCTCGCCGCTGCCCTCGTCCTCCGCGTCAGCGCCACCACCGTCGTCGGCCCGCTGCTCCTCCTGCTCCTCCTGCTCTCCTCCTCCTCCTTCTTCTCCTCCTCCTCCTCCTCCTCCCTTTCCTCCCTCCCTCTCGCCCTCCATCCTTCTCTCCCTCCCTTCCGCCTACAACGACGCGCACGAGCATCCCACACCTCGCACGGCCCTCGGGCGCCGCTATCCGGCGGCGTCCGCGCTCGCCGCCCCCCAGCAGCAGCAGCGCCGCTCCCGCGCCAGCGCCCCATCCCTGCCACCCTCCCCCCTCCTCGCGCCTCGCCTCCTCTCCCTCCTCCCTGCCTTCCTCCTCCTCGCCTCGCCTCGCCTCCTCCTCCTCTCCTCCTCTCCTCCTCGTCTCGCCTCGCCTCCTCCCTCCTCCTCGCCTCGCCTCCCTCCTCCTCCTCGCCTCGCCTCCTCCTCCTCTCCCTCCTCCTCGCCTCGCCTCCCTGCATCCCTCCTCCCTCCCCCCCCCCACCGCTCCCTCTTCCTTTTTCGCTCCTCCTCCCTCCTCGCTCCTCGCCCACGGCCTGCCAGAGACGGGGGAGCGAGGACGAGGAACCAGAAAAGAAGAGGAGGAGGAGGAGGAGGAGGAGGAGGAGGAGGAGGAGGAGGCATTGAGAAACGAGGAGCGGCGACTGGGAGGGGGAAGGAGGCAGGACTGAGGCCCTCTCTCTCCCCCCTCCTGGGGAAGGAAACCAGCAGGTGCCGATATCGCGGCCCCCCCCCCCGGGCCTCTACTGCGGTGCGTCCCGACAGACTTTCGAGGCGAATCCAGCGGTGGCGACGAGGACCTCCTGGGAGGCCCCAACAGGGGGAAACGGGGCAAGGGTAGCGGCATCGCTACCTTCTCCTCCTCTGACCTCCCTCCTCCTCTCACACTCCTCGTCGTCGGCGCCCCCCTCCTCCACTAGGCCACAGGGTGTGGGGAGGCCTGCTGCGGCGGCGACCCGCCCTCGGCGCCGGGAGTGGTCGCGGGGTGGAACACCGCGTGCTCCATGGTGCGCACCACGAGCAACAGGATCTGGCAGGCCTCCCCGGGGTCCTCGCCGACGACGGAGGCGGCGACGACGGCGGCGATAACGGAGGCGGCGGCGAGTGGAGGGGGAGTGGGGAGGGGAGGGGAAGGAGATGGATTGCGGCAGGTCGGCGGGAGGCAAAAAAGCGGGACGGGGAGGCACGGGGGAGATGATGATGATGATGATGATGATGATGATGATGATGATGATGATGATGATGATGATGATGATGATGATGATGATGATAATGATGATGATGCTGCTGATGCTGATGATGATGATGATGGTGGTGGTGATGATGAGGAGGAGGGGGAGGAGGAGAAGGAGAAGGAGAATGAGGATGAGGATGAGGATGAGGATGATGATAATGATGCTTATGCTGATGCTGATGCTGATGCTGATGATGATGATGATGATGATGATGATGATGATGATGATGATGGTGGTGGTGGTGGTGATGATGATGAGGAGGAGGAGGAGGAAGGGCAGGAAGAGCAGGAGGAGGATGAGGATGAGGAGAAGGAGAAACATAAGCAGAAACATAATCAAAAGCAAAAGCACAAGGAGGAGGCGGAGAGGAAGGATAATAACACGGATGGAGGAGGAGGCGGAGGAGGAGGAAGAGGAGGAGGAGCAGGAAGAGGAGGAGACGGAGGAGGAGGATGAGGAGGAAGAAGAGGAGAAGGAGGAGGAGGAGGAGAAGGAGGAGGAGGAGGTGGGGGATGGAGGAGGAGGAGGAGGAGGAGGAGAAGGAACAAGAGCATGAGATGGAGGAGGAGAACGACGACGACGACGACGAGTGGTGAAGGAGCATAGAAAGGGCCAGCTGGGAAGGGAAGGGAGATGGGGACAGGGGGCAAGGAAGGGAGGGCTAGGAGGGGAGAAAGAGGGACACGGTGAGCAAAACGAAACAACGGAGCAGCAGCAGCATCATCCAGCAGACGTCCCTTCTGTCCTTGTCCTCGAGGAGGGTGTGCGCGCTGCGGATGAGCCAGCGAGCGAGAAGGCGACACACAACCTAGAGCCTTACGCCGCGAAAAATGCGTGTCCTCATCTCCTTCTCCGTTCCTGTGCCCTCCTCGTCCCTCCTCCTCCTCCTCCTCCTCCTCCTCCTCCTCCGCCTCCGCCTCCTCCTCCTCCTCCTCCTCCTCCCTCTCTCCTTCTCCTCCTCCTCATCATCATCATCATCATCATCATCATCATCATCATCATCATCATCATCCTCTCTCCTCTCCCCTCCTCCTCCTCCTCCCTCCTCCTCCTCTCTCTTCTCTCTCTCCTCCTCCTCCTCCTCCCTCCTCTCCTCCTCCTCTCCTCCTCCTGCCCCTCCTCCTCTCCGTCTCGTACCTCGTCCCGCAAGCTCTCCATCTTCTCCTCCCAGGAGGGGGAGGAGGAGGAGGAGGAGGAGGAGGAGGAGGATGAGGAGAAGACGGATGATGATGATGATGATGATGATGGAGGAGGAGGAGGAGGCGGATGAGGAGGAGGAGGAGGCGGAGGCGGAGGAGGAGGAGGCGAAGAGGAGGAGGCGGAGGAGGCGGAGGAGGAGGAGGAGGAGGAGAGAGAAGGGGGAGGAGGAGAAGGAGGAGGAGGAGGAGGAGGAGAAGGGGAGGAGGGAGGAGGAAGGGAGGAGGAGGCGGAAGAGGAGAAGGAGGAGGAGGAGGCGGAGGAGAGGAAGACGAGGAGTAGGAGGAGGAGGGGGAGGAGGAGAAGGAGAAGGAGAGGAGGAGGCGGAGCCCTGCCGAAAAGGCGTCCTGCGCCGCCAGGGGCCGCAGGGACATTTCGAGGGAGCGGAGGAGAATGGGGAGGCGAAGGAGGACGGGGAGAACGGGGAGGCGAAGGAGGAAGCGGAGGACGGAAGAGGACGGGGAGGTCGTGGAGTTCCAGACAATGCGACCATGTTGGCTACGAGTCCCCAACAAGCAACCTTCGATGAGAGGTCAGAGAGGAGAAAGAGAGGAGACGGAGGAGGAGGAGGAGGAGAAGGAGGAGAAGGAGGAGGAGGAGAGGAGAGGAGGAGAGGAGGAGGAGGAGGAGGAGGAGGAGGAGGAGGAGGAGGAGGAGGAGGAGGGGAGGAGGAGGAGGAGAAGGGGGAGGAGGAGGAGGAGGAGGAGGAGGAGGAGGAGGGGAGGAGGAGGAGGAGGAGGAGGAGGAGGAGGAGGAGGGGAGAGTAGGAGGAGTAGGAGGAGGAGGAGGAGGAGGAGGAGGAGAAGGCCGCGAGGGAAGGAGGAGGAGGAGGAGGAGGAGGAGGAGGACGGAGGAGGAGGAGAGGAGGAGGAGGAGGAGGAGGAGGAGGGGAGGAGAGGAGGGGAGAGGAGGAGGAGAGAGGAGGAGGAGGAGGAGGAGGAGGAGGAGGAGGAGGAGGAGAGGATGAAGAGGAGGCGGCGGAGGACGAGGATGAGGAGGAGGAGCAAGAGGAGGAGGAGGAGGAGGAGGAGGAGGAGGAGGAGACGGAGAAATGGCCAAGGTTGAGGAAGACGAGGAGGGATGCCAAAGAGGAGGAGGAGGCCAAGTAGGGGGGGAGGGCGATTAGGGGGGGATGAGGAGGAGGATGGCTGAACGCGGAGCCCGGCGGCGGCGGAAGGCTCAGGTCCCCGAGCCGCCCCTCGCCCGCTGGCGGGATGAGGATGTGCGCGGAGGCCTCGCGTGCGGGCCGCAGGTCCGGGTCCTCCGAGACGCCGGATCCGGAGGTGATGGAGAAGACCTGGAGCGCCACCTGCTCCAAGGAGGACGAGGAGGAGGAGGAGGTTGACGACGACGAGGACGACAAGGACGACGAGTCGGAGGTGATGGAGAAGACCTGGAGCGCCTCCTGCAAAGGAGGATGATGACGAGGAGGAGAAGGAGGAGGAGGAGGAGGAGGAGGCGAAGGAGGAGGAGGACGACGAGGACGACGAGTTGGAGGTGATGGAGAAGACCTGGAGCGCTACCTGCTCCCAGGAGGACGACGACGACGAGAAAGATATGGGCCCGGCGGCGGGGCCGAAACCAGCTGCATGCAGCAGATTTCGTACCCCCCCCCTTTCCCTATCCCCCCCTGTCGTTCTGCCCGACACCTGCTCAGAGGGCGTCAAGGCTAGAGGCCTCCTAAATGGGGCTCGAGTGGATGGAGTTGGAGGCTCGCGCCGCATGGACGATGCAACGGCGATGGCGAGGAACTCGATGGAGAGCTCTGCCGCGCCCCGACGAGGCCCCGACGTGGTGATGGAGAAGACACGGAGCGCCACCTGCGCTGTGGGCTCTGGCCGGAGACTCCGAATGGTGCGGTTTGCAAAGGGTGTGGTCTGCAACCCGCGCCTCGGAGGGGGGGCGGGCGAGGAGCTCGACAGAGATCGCAGCCACGCTCCGACGAGGCCCCGACATGGATTCGGGGACCACCAATAGGGGAACAACGTCGGATCGGCGCTGGGGACCCCCGGCGGGGCCTCCGGCGCCGCCCCTGGCGCGCTCCGCGCGCCAGGGAGGGGGGTCCAGCGCCGATCCGAGAAATCCGCGCGGACCTCCAAGTTTTTATGTTTATGTGAGTTGCTTGTTTCCCTAACCAAGACCCTGAGGTGGGGTGAGTTCGATCCGCTGGTGCATCGAATTTCCGAAAAACGATGCCCCCCGCGCGCCCCGACTGTCGACGCCTCTCGGGTTCCGGCGGCGGTCGGAGACCTCGTTTTGCTTAGTTTTTCTGCGGTTCGATGCGCCAACGGACCGAACTCCTCCCCCCCCCTGTGGCACCCGCCCCCTTTTGCGAGGTCCCGATGGTTGACGGAGAAGACCTGGAGCGCCACCGCTCCGGGGGCTCCAGAGTTCCACTCCCAGCTCTGCCTCTGCCTCTGCCGTCCCCGTTCCCCTCCGACATCCTCCTGAAGTTCCCCCCAACTTCTTCCTTTGGCATCTGCCTTCCACCTCCTCCTCCACATCCTCCTCCACCTCCTCTTCCACCTCCTCCTCCTCTTCCACCTTCTCCACCTCCATCTCCTCCACCTCCTCTCCCTCCTCCTCCACGGGCTCTGGTCGGGAGAAGGGATGGAGTAGGCCTGGAGCGCCACAGGCTCGCGGGGCTCTGGAAGACCACCGACGGCCACAGAGGACCGACGAAGGCGCCCGAACACCTCGAACCTCGAGGCCTTCCGCCTGCCCCGTGCCGCTGCCCCCGATCTGCCCTTCCTGACACCCACCGACGTGTACTTTTCTGCCCGCTGCCCCAGGGAGGTCCCGACCCCTTCTCGCAGGGTGGTTCTGCGTCTTGGATCCACTCCTGGTGGCCAGGGGCCCGTGAGTCTAGGTCGGGCCTGCCCCCCTACAGGGGGATTTTGGGCGAGAACTCCAGAGCCCTAACAAACATACTCCACAGATGGTCAAACGTAGTCACAAAATCTGTCCCTGACTATTTTTGTTACTCTGTTCGAATATTCCCCCTGTAGAAGGACAGGCCCGACTCAAGCCTTGGATCCACCCCTGGTGGCCACGGGGCCCGTAAGCGGCCCACGACGGCCGGCATCGACTGCCGAGCGCCCGAGCACACCCCGAGCCCTGAGAAGGCCCACCGTGCCCCGCCTCGGCGAGGCGCGCAGTCCGACCAGCCACAACTGGGGGAGCTGTGGTCTGGGGGAATGCATCGCATCGACGATCTCTCGAGAGGGGTGTCGAAATCGATGGGTCCTCCAGGGGGGTAAGGACCACAGCTCCCCAAGTTGTGGCTGGCCTGTACAGTGGGGGCCGATCCACGAGAAACATTCCACAAGAAACCCTTTCACAAGAAACCCAACCCTTCCACAAGAAGCCTCCCACAAGAGACCTTCAACGAGGAAACTTCCACAAGAAACCTTCCACAAGATGCCACAGGACGTCCATTGATGTTTGGTGTGGGAGCGTGACGCTTTCCATCGCAAAACCATCGAAACACCCCAAAAAACCCAGGGCACCCCAGAGGCAAGCAGGGTGTTTCTTGGCATGGGTCTCCACAGTAAGACTCACGTTCGGGGGATTCGGGTTGGCCTGACGGGGGCGTCACGCAAAGGGCAAGACCCCGTCTGAGATTTGGCGCGAGCTCCCACCGCAGACTTCCCACGAAAACTGAGCCATCAAGATCCAAGACGGGCTCGTCAATGACACGTCGGCCAACCCGAGTTGCAGCGAACTCGAGCCTTACGTTTCCCAGATCTGAGGTATCCTCCTGCTCCCTTCCCATCTGTGCCCCTGCTCCCCCATTACCCGCTGGATGAGTTGTGTCGGCACGAGATCCAGGCCGCCAACGACGGGTGAGGTACTAGGAATAGCACCACTCGCGTCGGCGGAACACGAGCAGAGAGAAAAGCAACCAAGAGCGTCGGTCCAAATCTGGCCTCCCCTGCAAGGAACCGGTGCCGGCCCCTGACAGTCTGTGCAAGCAGAAGAAGGCGAACGCGCATCTTCCATCCTGCTCCTTCGGGTGTTCGTTGACGCGGCGGGGGCAAAACACGTGGGGTGGAGAAACGTGCACCTGTCGTGCACATGTTGGGCCCGCGGTGACAGTCTAGGGGCCGCTCAAGGCTCCATTTGAAGCCGCGTTCCTGCAACCCCCGCTCCCACCACGCCTGTTGCCCCCCCACCGTTGCCGTCCGCCCGATTCCTGCCCGCTCCTCCATTCTCTTCTCCCTCAGGCATATGCCCTCTCCCACCTCTTCCTTTCTCCTCCTCCCTCCTCCTCCTGCGCCTCTGCCTCCTCCTCCTCCTCATCCTCCTCCTCCTCCCTCTCCTCTTCCTCCTCCTCTTTCTCTTCTTCCTCTTCCTCTTCGTCGTCATCGTCACCTTCATCGTCGTCGTTAAAATGATATCTATCTCCGGGTAGTTGGCGTCAGCGTTAACATGATCGTTATCCCGATCGGAATCATCGTCATCGTCATCGCCGTCACATTCTCCGTCATCGTTACCACCAACACCACTGGCATCACAAACATCGTGCCAATCACCATCCGTACCGGCGTGATCATCACGATCGTCAATGCATTACCATCTCAATCGGTATCACCATCATCGAAAACATAACCAGGCTCGTCATCACCATCAACATCATACTCAGTACCATCGGCACTTCACAACAAACGCACAAATATCTGCATCGCCACAACCACGACCATCATCATCATAATCATGATCATCATCGTCATCTGCATTATCCGCCTACTCCTTCTCATCATGAATATCAAAATGATTTCCGTCATCTCCGTCATCATTATACTCACTACCATCACCATCACGATCACACCCACCATCAACCATCTTCATCTTCATCATCATCAGCACCAGCACCAGCACCAGCATCATCATCATCATCATCATCATCATCAGCATCATCATCATCATCAGCATCAGCATCAGCATCAGCATCAGCATCATCATCATCATCATCATCATCATCATCATCATCATCATCATCATCATCATCATCATCATCATCATGGTCATCATCAGCATCATCATCATCATCATCATCATGGCCATCATCATCATCATAATCAGCATCACAATCTCCATGATGGTTGCCATCGCCATCGTCACCTTCACCACCATCGCCATCGCCATCACCATCATGATCACAATCGCCATCGCCATCACCATCATCATCATCTCCATCATCTTCAGCATCATCGTCATCATCATCAGCATTATCGTCATCATCCACACATCCCTCCCCCCATTAACCTGCCCCTTCCACTCCCTGCGCGTGCGGGGCGCGCGAGGGGGAGGGAGAAGAAGGAAAAAGAGGGGGAGGACGCAGGAAGAATGGCAGGGGAAACGATGCCCGTAACATCCTTATCCTCTTGCCCCCCCCCTCCTCCAACCCTCTTCCGTTCTTTCTATATCTTTCCCTCCTCACTCCGTCCGCATCCCTCCTCCACTGGGGGAACAAGAAGGTGCAGACGCCGCTGCTCCCTGGACATCTCCTGGCGTGTCTTCTGACCGGGCCTGAGCCGCGGTAGCGACATTCTAGTTCGTCCGCGGGGACTCCAGCTGAGGTATCTGGCCTGGTGAGACCGGCCGAGGAGAAAGGGCACCAGCAGGCCCAGCGAGACGCAGCTAGCGCCAAGCAAAGGGAACGCGCTGGTTTCTGCGAAGCCATGACGCCCCAGAGCCACTGGCCGCACGGTGCCGATGATCGCTTCCTCAGCCCGCTAAAAGAGGAACAGCAAAACCGCATCAACATCAACTTTTGAACGTCCGAGTGGATCGGCGCTGTGCCTCCTCCCTGGGGCGCTCCGCGCGCCAGGGGCGGCACCGGAGGCGTCGCCAGGGGGGCCCCGCAGCACGTGTTGTCCAAAACGCCGGCGGCTGCTGTTGGGCAGGCGACTTCTTGTCTCAAGCGGGCAACGTCCTCGGCGACACCGCCAGCGAGTTCTAGACCAAACGAGCAAGAACTGCCGCTGGCCCTCGTAGCCCATTCTCTCCGCACCCACTCCGATCGTATCTGAAATTGTTGCTATATTATGTGCCACAACGGTCGTTACCCGGGGGAGAGGGCTGGGGACCCAGGTACGGGAGCGCTTCTTCGGTGGCGACTCTTGGGAGCCTCCCATATCATCTTGTCGGCTCTTGCGAATCGACACTAATCGACGCTACATCGACGCTAATCGACGCTCATTCGACGCTAATCGATGCTAACCGACGCTAAATCGGCGCTATCTCATCGACTCCATACGCTAATCGACGCAAGTCGACGCTGAAGACGGAATTAAGAGGTACACCAGGGTCCCATGATTTGTCATCGAACGCTTCGGCGGGGTAAGGCACTTCGGGGCGTGAGTGCGCTGCGATCGCCGTAGTACGCGCGCGAGCACCAACATGCTGGCCCCGCCCTCACGTAAGACTATTACCGTTACCTGGGGGTTCTGGCCAGTATAGCAACAAATACGCTTAATGAAATAAAATAGTTTCTCGATGCGACGACGCTGACACCAACGACACCACCAGCGAGACCGGCTCGCAACGAGCAGGAATTGCCGTCGGCCTTCGCTCCCAATGTTTGTCCGCCTGCGAGTCCTGTTCAAACCGAGCAAGAACTGTCGTCCCTCGTAACTGTGCTCAAAACGAACAAGAACCTACTGTGACCCTTCGTACGCGCATCGGCGGCCATGCGTGCCAGGCCCCGGGGCCCCGGCCCTTGACTGCGGGGCGTGCTTGTCGCGGATATCCCCCGCGACACGTATCCGTGCGACCGCGTGCCCACGGGATCGCGCCATGGCATCCTCGACCGCGAGGGCGCGGATGCGGACATGCTCCCCGCTCGTGGCGCAACCCAAATCCTTTCCGTGCCCATGACGGCCGTATCTATGCGACGACGCTGACGCCGACAACGCCGCCGCCGAGGGCGCATCGTGCCGCCGGCGGGCCGACCTGCGGCGGGAAGCCGGGCAGCAGCGGGTACAGGCGGCTCTGCGCCGCGTCCAGCAGCGGGCGCGGCAGCTGGTAGAGCACGCACGCGCGCAGCAGCTCGACAACCTCGCCGCCGTCGTCGTCGTTTTCGTGTTCGTCGTCGTGGAAGGAAGAGGAGGGGGATTGAACTAACCCAAAGCTGCAGCAACGATGCTCACACGCCCCCTTCCTCGTGCCCCCCTACAAAAAGTGTTCCTGCTCACTCCAAGAAGCGCCTCCCCTTGAACGACCAGCACGGCTGGGCCTGCCATTTTGGCCAGGGCCCCACTTCGAAAACGACTTACCTTGCATCTCTGGCACGTAATCCTGAACGCGGGAAACAAATCGTGGGCGCGCGAACATGGATTAGCGATCCATGGATTTGGCGCGCGGTCGCTAAATCCATGGATGGGGGAAGGCTCCCTCCCCATAATGCGGCCGGTGCCGCCTCGCTCGGCGGCGGAAATCCGCGATTTCTCGTGGAAACGAGACCCGTCGCTAATCCACGCCCCCTTGATCCATGCTTGCGATCGCCTGACTAACCTGAGCGCGGGAGAAAGACTCATACGGTCCAACGAGGTGTCCAGCCACATTCAAGTTTCGAGGAAGGACCGCCCCCTGGCTGGCCCGGCGGGCCCCAACGGGCAGGTCAGACGAGCGGGCCCAGATGGCCAGGTCGAGCGGGCTTGTCGCTGAAGCGTGCGTCCTGCATGGATCAAGAGGAAGTCTGGAGCGACAGCGCGATTCCAAATTCAATCGTGAGAAAGTACATGGAGGGAGCGTGATTTCTTAGCGTCGAGGGCGCGGCGTCTCAATAATTTGCGAGGAAATCTCACGCGAGAGCGCGGTTCCTGGGTAATGTATGGTTTATGGAAGAGTCCCGCGCAAGAGCGCGACTTTGAATAACCTGTGCGGAAGAACCAAGCGGGAACCATTAGGTCGGGGACCGGCATCCCAGTCTGAGGCTCAAGACTTCCCCTAGCTCAAAGACAGGGTGCGAGCCCGGGGATGGGGTAGTTCAATTGAAGTACGCCAGGTGCACCGGAGGCGGGGATCAACAACAGTTAAACCTGAGAAATGAGAAGACTGTGCGTTCTTATCTGCTCCCGTTTCAGCCAACATGCATAGGATAAAACCAAAGAGCCCGCTCTCTTCATCTTCGATCGTAGCTACACCCTCTTGGGGGCTTATCTTCCCCATCTGCCACGTGTAGAGGGCGCAGCCCCTGAAACAGGGGAAGGGAGGGAGGAATGAAGGGACAAGGTGGAGGGAGAAGGGCTGAGCACGAGAGCATTTAGCAGTAGCGGGGTTGGGAGCAGGCAAGCAAACGGCAGAAGCAGACGGGCTTGTCGGCCGGGCGGACCCTTACGAGCGGGGGGGGGCGGTCGGGCGGGCGGACCCAGACGGGCGGGTCGGGTCGGGCGGGCTGGTCGCCGAAGAGCGAGCCCTGCATGAAGCGCGAGGAAGCCTCTAACGATAGCGCGACCCCCTAGCAAGTCGTGGAAGCCCCCAGAGCGAGAGCGCGACTCGGGGCCAAGGCTTTGCCGCACACGGGGGGCCTGTCGGAGGGGCCCCTGACTCCCTGCAGGGAAGCACACCTCCCTCTTTCGCGCTTCCCTTCCTTGAAGGGGCCCTGGGACACACAAATACATACACACAAATAAAAGGATTCTCCATATTTTCCCATATTTTCTGGGTTTTCGTCTTCCCCCCACTTCCCATATTTTCCCATATTTTCCTGGGGGTCGACGATTCATTGTGTCTATGTGTTTGTTCCCTCCTGAATTGCTCCCAGGCCACCCGGCTTCGCGGGCCCCGAGCCCGCGAGTTGCCCTCGCGCCCTCGCGCCGCCGCCCCCCGAGAAAGGGCCCCCTTCTCTGGCCCGGGACGCGCGCAGGACGCGACGCGCGAAGCTGCCTTCGCGCGCGCCCCCCGTGGGCCGCCCGGCGGCTCGCGCCGCGGGAGGCCCCGTCCCTCCGCGCGCTCTCGCGCGCGCCGCAGCCCCCTCACGCCCAGTTCCTCCAGCTCCAGATCCCGCACCCCCCTCCAGCCCCAGGACCCCCTCCGTGGACGCCCGCCTGCCCCTTCCCTTTGACTCCCGGCCCCTGGACCCCCTCGGTGGGGGGCACCGTCCTGGCCGCCGGTCCAGCCGCGGCCAGGAGGGAGCCCCCCGAAGGTCCAGAGGGCGGAGACGACGACGGCTCCCGCCGACGCCGACGCGGACGCCTTCTCCACGTTGTCTGCGTAGGTGATGCTGACCACCCCGGTGTACATGAACTGCAGCGCGCTCCTCCACACCTCCTGGGAGATGCGCGGGTCGATGCGCAGCACGGCCGCCCGTATCTTCTCGCGCGGCAGCTCGGTCCTAGAGGAGCCCCCCAAAAGGCATACGCAGAAACTGTCGGAGGTCCGCGCGGATTTCTCGAGTCGGTGCTGGGCCCCCTCCGCCGGCGGCGCCAGATGAGTCCAGCGCAGACCCAAGACATCGGTGCCGTTTCTGGGTCGCTTAACTTCGCGCATCGCGCCCCGCGGTGCGCGAGGAACGATTATTTTCGCGCACTCGCGCCGCCCTCATGGAACAAGGCAACCGCTCATGCCCCGACCGCGACGCGCCAACCGCGATTACATCTGCGCCCCCGCGGGTGACCTAGTTGGTTTACGGCAGGTTCCCGTCGTGACGTCCCCGAGGTTGGTTTCTGACATCGCGGAAATCCATCAATCCTGACCGATCGGCGGCTTTCCGACAGCGTGGATCGTTCCATGTCAGCCGATTCTGAGCCACTGGTGGCGCTGAACCTCGAACGACCCCGGACTTGTTGCCGGGTTGCCGCCGCGTCGACACGACGCGAAGGCGAACCCAATCCGAGTGTTCTAAAAAGCGCGGTCCTAGAGGTCCCAACCCCTTCGCCAAGGGTAGTTGTTCGCCCCAACTATGTGATGGCGGGGCCCGATAACAGGCCCTCGGAACCGAAATCGACGACAAACGCTCGGATTGAACAAATCATATCGTCGGATACCTGGGTCGATCGGCTTCCATGTCATAACTCTGGTCTCCATCGTCCGTTCGGGATGACCTGGGCCCCCGCCCGATCGCTCGCTGCGAGGCGCAGCTGCTGGAACGAATCCCGAGGCGAGAAAACATCCCATACCCGGCGAAAACGTCCGAAGACCTCGAATGGAGGAACAAAGTGAAGGGGTCCTGGGACACACAAATAAACAGGCACAAATAACAGGAGTCCCCACATGTTCCCATATGTTTTTGGTTTTTGTACTCCCCATATGTTCCCATATGTTCTGGGGAGTCGACGATGAATTGTGTCTGTGTGTTTCTATTCCCTCCCGACAAAAGAACGGCATAAACATGCTGTCTTCGAAGTCCGTGCGGATGTTTGCCGGATCGGCGCCGGACACCCCTCCCTGTCGCGCAGAACGCCTTGGGGGTGGCGCCTGAGGCGCCGCCAGGGGGGCCCAGCGCCGATCCATCCGCGCGGGTCTCCGAGAAATTCCGTTTATGCCGTGCCTTGTTTTACGAGAATGCAACGTACGTTTATGCTGTCCTTTGTTCCCAACCATCCTGTGGTGTTGGGTCCTCGTTTTGAAGAGACAGCGCCCCGCGTCCCACCTCCTCCTCCTCCTCTCCTCCTCCCCCTCCTCCTCCTCCCATCATCATCATCATCATCATCACATCATCATCATCATCATCATCATCATCATCATCATCATCATCATCATCATCATCATCATCATCATCATCATCATCATCATCATCATCATCATCATCATCATCATCATCATCATCATCGTCATCGTCATCATCATCATCATCATCATCGTCATTGCCATCGTCGTCATCGTCATCACCCACTTCGGCACACCCCTCACACGTTTCGTGGCCCCATAGGGAGCTCCACCGAAGGCCCGAGGGCTGCCGCCCGCATGCGTCCCCTACACCCATTTCGGCACACCCCTCACACGTTTCGTGGCCCCATAGGGAGCTCCACCGAAGGCCCCATGCTGCCGTCCGCATGCGTCCCGCACACCCATTTCGGCACACCCCTCACACGTTTCGTGGCCCCATAGGGAGCTCCACCGAAGGCCCCAGGCTGCCGTCCGCATGCGTCCCGCACACCCATTTCGGCACACCCCTCACACGTTTCGTGGCCCCACAGGGAGCTCCACCGAAGGCCCCATGCTGCCGTCCGCATGCGTCCCGCACACCCATTTCGGCACACCCCTCACACGTTTCGTGGCCCCATAGGGAGCTCCACCGAAGGCCCCCATGGCTGCCGTCCGCATGCGTCCCGCACACCCATTTCGGCACACCCCTCACACGTTTCGTGGCCCCACAGGGAGCTCCACCGAAGGCCCCAGTGCTGCCGTCCGCATGCGTCCCGCACACCCATTTCGGCACACCCCTCACACGTTTCGTGGCCCCATAGGGAGCTCCACCGAAGGCCCCATGGCTGCCGTCCGCATGCGTCCCGCACACCCATTTCGGCACACCCCTCACACGTTTCGTGGCCCCATAGGGAGCTCCACCGAAGGCCCCAGCTGCCGTCCGCATGCGTCCGCACACCATTTCGGCACACCCCTCACGCGTTTCGTGGCCCCACAGGGAGCTCCACCGAAGGCCCCAGTGCTGCCGTCCGCATGCGTCCCGCACACCCATTTCGGCACACCCCTCACACGTTTCGTGGCCCACAGGGAGCTCCACCGAAGGCCCCATGGCTGCCGTCCGCATGCGTCCCGCACACCCATTTCGGCACACCCCTCACACGTTTCGTGGCCCCACAGGGAGCTCCACCGAAGGCCCCAGTGCTGCCGTCCGCATGCGTCCCGCACACCCATTTCGGCACACCCCTTCACACGTTTCGTGGCCCCACAGGGAGCTCCACCGAAGGCCCCAGTGCTGCCGTCCGCATGCGTCCCGCACACCCATTTCGGCACACCCCTCACACGTTTCGTGGCCGCATAGGGAGCTCCACCGAAGGCACCATGGCTGCCGTCCGCATGCGTCCCGCACACCCATTTCGGCACACCCCTCACACGTTTCGTGGCCCCAAGGGGAGCTCCACCGAAGGCCCCATGGCTGCCGTCCGCATGCGTCCCGCACACCCATTTCGGCACACCCCTCACCGCATGCGTTCCGCACACCCATTTCGGCACACCCAGCTCCACCGAAGTCCCATGGGTGTTGCGTCCCGCACACCCATTTCGGCACCCCTCACACGTTTCGTGGCCCCATAGGGAGCTCCACCGAAGGCCCCAGTGCTGCCGTCCGCATGCGTCCCGCACACCCATTTCGGCACACCCCTCACACGTTTCGTGGCCCCATAGGGAGCTCCACCGAAGGCCCCATGGCTGCCGTCCGCATGCGTCCCGCACACCCATTTCGGCACACCCCTCACACGTTTCGTGGCCCCATAGGGAGCTCCACCGAAGGCCCCAGTGCTGCCGTCCGCATGCGTCCCGCACACCCATTTCGGCACACCCCTCACACGTTTCGTGGCCCCACAGGGAGCTCCACCGAAGGCCCCAGTGCTGCCGTCCGCATGCGTCCCGCACACCCATTTCGGCACACCCCTCACACGTTTCGTGGCCCCATAGGGAGCTCCACCGAAGGCCCCATGGCTGCCGTCCGCATGCGTCCCGCACACCCATTTCGGCACACCCCTCACACGTTTCGTGGCCCCACAGGGAGCTCCACCGAAGGCCCCAGTGCTGCCGTCCGCATGCGTCCCGCACACCCATTTCGGCACACCCCTCACACGTTTCGTGGCCCCATAGGGAGCTCCACCGAAGGCCCCATGGCTGCCGTCCGCATGCGTCCCGCACACCCATTTCGGCACACCCCTCACACGTTTCGTGGCCCCACAGGGAGCTCCACCGAAGGCCCCAGTGCTGCCGTCCGCATGCGTCCCGCACACCAGGTGTGTGGCGTGCCGACATGGGCGTCGCGGCGCGCGGGCGCTGCCGTCGGGGTTCCCAGGGAAGCCCCCTGCAGAGGCGACGCTCAGAGTCACGAGTACCGAGAGTCACGCAGACCCAAACTGTTCACAGTCGTATACATACATTTACACTGGGCGTATCCATGCACGCATTCATGCGAATAGAATCAATCGCGCGCAGATTCATTCATAATCAGACTCGCTCGCGATCCGACTCGCACGCGCTCAAGCTTTCATATTCGGACCTATCGTCTTCGTTCGTGTTGTGTACACTGCCACGCATTTCGGCACACCCCTCATACGGCTCGTGGCCCCATAGGGAGCGCCACCGAAGAAGATATTCACAATTGCGGTACTCTCAACTGCATATGGTTGGGTCCTTCGCCAGGCTAATTTTTCGAGTGCACGCGGGCTGCTGAAATAAGGAACGCTACATACGGAACGCAGCTTCCTACTGGCCCCAGAAGCGCCTGCGTGGATGAGGAGCACCAGAGAAACGGCCGAACCTCGAAACGTCGAGAAAGCCTCGAAATCGTCGGAGATGGTGAGTCCCACAGTACCGAAACCACTACTCCCAAGACCTCTCCCGAGGTGCGTTCTGACCAGGATTTCGAGGCGACTCCAGCCGTGGCGACGAGGGTCTCCCAGGAGGCCCCCAAAAATGGAGAAGCGAGGCAGGGGTAGCGGTATGGGTACCTTTTTCCCTCCTCCGACGAACCGTCGAGACAACCTCGAACACGTCGGAGCGTCGTCTTTTCTTCGAGGCCGCGGTCAGCGGCAGCTTCTCGAGCGACTCCAGGAGCACCGGGCTCTGTGCCACCACCACGATGCGGTGCGCCAGGAAGCGGCCCACGCCGCCCTCGGGGCCCACGTCGAAGGCCACGTCGGCGTAGGGCACGACGCCTCGAGGGCGAGGATTAAGACGTCACGAGGGGGAGCACTAGGGGGAGGGGAGAAGAGGAAGGACGAGGATGGGAAGGACAAGGTTTATTCCCACGCGAAAACTCTGGGGGGACATTGATTAACATTAAAGACCCTCTGCGGTCTCTGCAAGTAAACGTGAGCGACGAGAAGAAACGCGCCGCACTAAGACGAAGCCAGGACGAGAATAGATCGAGAATCTCCGAGATCCGGCGGCTCTGGACGATGTATCGGGCGCCGCGGCCTTCTCAGGGCGTTCGGCAACGCTCTGGAACGGATTTCTCCTCGTACTAGCCCCGTCCGGCTTACGCGAGATGACATAGCGACCGAACGCCGTGGCTGACGCGGGCCTCTGGCGCGGCACCCTACATTGGAGACGAGGGCGCTGATGAGCGTCTTACGCGAGAATGTTACGCGCGAATGTCGGCGCAGTCGACCCGATGTTCTTCCGCCGCTCTCGTCGCGATGACGTGCGCGTTGGTTTCTGACACCGCGTGGATCGCTCCAACTTGAACGATCGTAGCTTGCCGATGACGCAGGTCGTTCGATTCCGCCCGACGCTGGGCCACTGGCGGCGTTCAACCTTGAACGCCCGCGCCAGAGTTAACCGGCCTCGAACTTGACCCTATCCCTAAGATCGGCAAGCCCGAGTTGATGATAACCTTAGGGGTGCGCCATCAGAAACTGAGAAACTTAGGGGTGCACCGAGGCAAGGTGATGCCAAACTAAATTGATAGGGATAGGTATCAAGCTGATAGGGAAACCGCCACGTCAGCGCGGAGCGAACATGCCGTAGAACTGTTCGAACGCGCGCGCAAATCTCTCGGATCGGCGCTGGACCCCCCTGGCGGCGCCCCCCGCGCCAGCCAGAGAAGGGGG